AAACTTCGCAACCCACCATCAGGTACGCTTTTGTACCTGCATCTCGCCTCAAGCCAAGCTAGTCCGGTGTCTATAACCCGCAACGCTCCTCTCTCTCGGTGCGCCGTCGTTGGCTTTTACCGAAGGACTGTTCTTTGTGCTGCCTCGTTTCGTGGCGCTAATAGCATACCGTCATTGCCTACTGCGGTTGTGGAGCGAGGGTACACGCATGACCCAGGTCTCCGCTCTCGAGCCCCTCCGCCTTCCCGCACTACTTTATCCGCATCGCCCTCCAAGGTTCATATCAGACAGAAGTGGGCTCAAGGTACCTACCATCGTTTCGTCGACCGCCACCTCTCAGGTGTAGCCGCATCAACCGCAGCCACAGCCAGCATGGTCGTGACCTGATCGACATCACTCCTTCATATCTTCTTTTTGGATCTTCCTTCCAATACACCATCACGCCTTCAACAAAGACGATCGCGACAAAGTTTTACCATTAAACGAAAGCAGTCCCATTCAACTCTCACACTCACATACACACCCTCGTTACAACTATGGAGCAAGAAACGAAAGTCTGGATCATCCTTGGTGCCGTCGTAGGCATCCTCGTCCTGACGGCGGTTGCCGTCGCCCTTCTCTTCTGCTGGAAACGATCTCAAAGAAGGATGCGAGGCTTCTCTCTGCGAGCTGTCACACCACTAGACGATGCCGAATTTGAATCGTGGAGACGGCCCAGCCAATACACCCAACGACCGGAGAAGTACGGCATCCGACCAGCTGTCTTACGCGAACATGTATCACCCAGAGCCACTTCCATGTTCGAGAAAGAGCTTAGCACATACGAGTTCCCTCCAAGAACACCATCATTAACCGACATGGCTTCACTAAAGTCACCCACCAGCTCGATACGAAAGCCCGAGCGTGTACGGAGGAAGTCCAGTGTTGCTTCGTCTATTGCCGACCGACCCCCAACACCCTATTCTCCGAACTCTCCAAGCGGTGAATTCAACCGGGGCTCCACATCTTCACATCGATCCCAGCCTCTAATACATTACCCATCACCATCAGAAACTTCTGCTTTCCGCTTCAACTTCGAATCAGAGTACGGCACTCAACAAAAGGGCGCTGGACGCTGGATATGAACGCCAGTGTCACTTCAACATTCCAGCCATCTTCGCAGCTCGAACATTACGGCTTGCAGTGATCTCTGTAATACCTGCAGCCTGCCGAAAGCACTCGAAGCGACTGAAACACACCTGACAGCTTCTTGCGTCACCACGCACCGCTTGCTGCTGTACAAGCATCGGGGCTGTCGCGATACCCAGTCAACACTTCACCTTTACGACCTTCGCTTCGCATACATACTTTACGATTGGACATGATTTTGTCATTTGGAGTTCGGCGGCGCTTTGCATCTATGATACCAGACCTTTGAGTCACTACACAGGCCTCGAGCCTCTTTGTTTCTTTTTGTTGGAGGATGAGCCACTCAGTGCCGAAGATCGCACGAGAATGCAATTCAGTAGTATAGCCAACCACAAAGTCGGGTCTGCAGTTGTAGCACTGCGAGAGGCTAGTCCTCTGTACCCATATCAATGAACAAACTCATTAGCACATGATCCTTCACTTTTTGCTGCAGTGATCTCCCTCCCATTGCGCAATACGCCCTGCCCTGCAAGACATCACGCACCACGCATCACGACATCAGCCCAAGCGGCAACTCGGCCCCGACCGTTCCCACCCACGACTGCCGACGCCGACCCCTTAGCCGTGCAAACGCCTCATCTGTGCCTGTGCCAAAGGAAAGAAAAACGTGGTCTACACCGCCAGTTCCAAGACCCCAGAATATTCACTACGCGATCTGAAACTCTGCTCGGCCGCCATCTCCACTCCACTCCACTTCGACTATCGAAAAGCGAGCGGGACGCGATTCATGCGCGATCGCGCTTCCCGCGCTCGAAAAGGTCACCGCATTATCTGGCTGGGTGAACCCCGCGAGATGGCGAAGGTCGTGATACTGGACTCTTGGGGGCTGAAATGCAAGACGCAGGGTGGTGGAGTAAGGGATCTTCGGTGTCAGTTGCTTTTGCGCACATCATGGGTGGGTTTTGGTAAGGGAGATGCAACTCATCTAAGCGACAAGCTAGATGCCTGCACGGGTACTATGATAAGAATTAAGTAACTCAGAAGTCTACACTACCCCAAGGAACCTGAATTGTTGGAATTCGTGTTGTTGTAGACCGCAGTGTGTACTTGCACCTGTTCACTTTCTTCATCTACGGCTTGCTGCTGCACTGGGTGGATGACTAAGCCAAGCGAACCGAGCGGATGACGTGCAGCCAGGATAAGGTGTGTTGAGCTGCACGGCGTGCGTGAAAGCGTTTTAGTGGGTCAACGACTCAACGTGGACAGCTGTCACCGCAAACCGTGTGGGCAAACAAGCAAATTATCAGCCACACCCCAATAACCCCCATCGCGTGCTCGTTTCTCAAGCCCATAATTCGCGTCGCCCCATTCATCCACCAGCCACTATCCGCGCGCAGATCAGTCGCAAGCGCGAATCTCGTTATCCGCACCCCACAAACGCGTTCTATCGCGTCTGGCACACGACATCTACACGTCCAATCGCAAATCGCCCAATATGGAGTTTATACAAGGTATGCTTCTCTGATGCGCCTATCGTCATATCACGCTATTGCGACACGGGTTGCTAACACCAGATACCAGACTACGCAGCTCTCCTCCCGCGCCTCCTCCCGCCGTCCTTCGCAAACCCACTCCTCCACCTCCTCACAACCTTCTTCGGCATCTCGCGCACGCTGTCAACGCACCTCTCACCCCTCCTCAACAAACTCATCACCCAACCCGATGTCGCCTCCATCCTCGCGTTGCTGGCCATATTCTTCATCTCGCTCAAGATACTGGACATGATGTACCGGGCCGTCATCTTCTGGGTAAACCTGGCGTTGCGACTGGTGTTCTGGGGCGGGATACTCGTTGTAGGCTTCTGGGTGTATAATAGAGGGCCTGAGGGCTTCGTCGAGGATGTGCAGGGCTTGGGCGAGTACTGGCTGGGTCAGTATGAGGTTTATAGTCAGGAGGTTAAGGGGTTTCAGCAGCAGAAGGAGGATCAGATTAGGATGAAGGCGAGTGCGCAGCAGCAGCAGAAGAGGAAGGGGTGGCGGTGAAGAGGGCGTGGAGACAATGGGTGGGGATGTGTGTCTGAAGGGATGGGAGTTGGATACTTGTCGATATAATGGCTGCGGTTTTGGGGTCGAACTGCATGACTGGGCGCAAGACTGGTTTTTGCACATATTCTTAAGGCGCTCAGGATCTCGAAAAGTATGGGACTGGCTTTGGGATTCATCGGCTTTGTACACAATGTCGGAGTGTTTTGGACTACAACTTGTACATGTTTGAGCTTCACGAATAATGGTATCCATGACAGTACTCTAGGCCTTCTTGTTCAAATTATCAAAGTATTAGCGCCAATGCATCGCTGTCTCATCGTCGACACGATGCTATCTCGGTATTTGCTCTTGGGAAACTATTGATTTTTGTTCCAGAAGCCAACCGTAAGCACAGGACGACTCTGAATCCTTCTCATAGCGGAAGCGTACAGTCTAGACTTTAGGAGAAGAAGGAGGAAAGTTTGATGATTGCTGTGTCAACTCCTGAAAAGGAGCCTCTCAGTCTGCAGACGAAGACCTTACCAACACTCACCAACCACCTGCGATGGCACCCCGGAGAAAGAAGCAGAAGACCAAGCACGCGCGCGCTGCGGCTGACACCACTGCACGAAGCATAACCAACCCCGCAAGAGAGCGTCTACCTACCGAGCTACTGCAGATGATCTTCGAATACCTCAACTTCGTTGAGCTGATGCGATGCACACGCGTGTATAGGAAGTGGGCTGCGTGCATACCAGGGGATAATTCGAAGTTGCGGGAGATACTTTTCCTGACAACCAATGTTCCACTGTGGAAAGACGAACTGCATGTCAAAGCCCATAACTTCTTTTCAAAAGATCGTGGAGACAGCTTCCACATGACACCCACACTCCCGCTGATCACCACCAATGTCCCGAAGCTTCAAATCAATCCTTGGTTCGAGGATACCAGGTGGAACAAGCTCGTTTATCTGGAGCGGCTTAGACCGAAGCCGACTCCAAGCATTCGCCGTAGAGGTTGCCCTTATGCTTTTGCTTTCTCATCTGTGAAGCAATTACGCCAGATGGCGACATCTCTTGAGAGCAGCGTCGACGAAGGCTTGTGGACCGATATGCTCGTATGCATTCCGCCAGTGCAAAAGTTGGAACTAGAGGTCGACGTCTATCTGAGTAGTTGTTGTGCTATCCTAACACGCACGCTTGCTGACAGTCGCGGGATTCGATTTAAGCGCCTGGTTAACTCACTGAGGAGCCTGTTGAAAGAGGTAGCCGAGAATCTCATGATACATAAGGTCACGCTGCGAAACAGAAGAATCATTGAGACCTTCGACTGGTTGGGGGATGGTGAGGATGGAGATGGTACCTTTGTGACTTTTCGGCACACAAAAATTATGGAAACCGAGATTACGAAAGAAGGAAATTTACGCAAAGTGTGGTAGGGGCTGAGTGAGCGGGCTGAGTGGCTACTCCGTAACCTTAGAAATGAACAGTCACATATGCGGTCAGTCAAAAGTCAAAAGGTTCGACGTAGTCAGTCAAAGCGATAATTCGTTGTTTCACAATCTTGATGGTCTTTCAGATATCTCTTCGAGCATCTGACCTCGACCACATGGAGAAAGAGCAATTAAGGTCCATTAGCAGAATAACCTGGTGATCACGCAGAATTGTTTCACCAAATATTCTATCGCTCGATCAACGTGACTTTATACGCCGTATAATTTCCGGCCTTCGTATTCCAGACCTCTCAACTCTCAACTACACTGGTCTTCCATGAGAGATCGTGTTGCCTGAGATGCCATATGAAATGAACGAAAATACACGTGCCCTGACCAGCAACAATAGCATAAGCATGTCACACAAGCAACCTGGCATGCCGACAGATGGCGCCAATCATCATCTTCCAAACGAGCTATGGCAGAACATCTTCGGCTTCCTAGACCTACTTGACCGTAAGTTCCGTACATCTGCTCCCTTCAATGTATCGTGGGCGCATGATCTCGATACTCATTGCTAACTGCGTGTACAGTTCTTCGCTCCCTCAGAGTGTGCAAAGAGTGGCGTGACAACATTCGTAGCACTGATCCAGTGCTCCGCGACAAGATGTTCAAGGATCGGGTAGTGCCGCCTCAAGATGAGACTAGAAGTGGAGAGAAAGCGAATGACAAGAAAGAGAACATGAAGCATAACAAAGGAGCGGATGATGATGACAAGCAAAAGAGCGACAGCGACAAGAATCTGAGCAATACCACTGACAATACAGAGGAAAATGTACCCACCGTCACAGTCAATCTACGTGCAGCTGCCGACCTGCTCTGCGTTCCCGGCTCCTTTCCAGAGGCCATGATCAGGTTCGAAGTCGATTTCAACACAGACTACGGTTGTGGTTTTGCCCCTGATGATAGTAATCAACTATCCAACTTTCCTTCCGGCACGAACTTCCATTTGATTCTTCTGAATCTGGATGAGCGTCTGCCTCTCGTCGACAAAGTGTTTCAGGCAACCGGTGGAGTGCCACATAAAAACTTTGGTTTCGATTCATTCGATTCTCTGGATGGCGTGTTAGAGCGGATGCGGAAACATTCGCGTAGCAGAAACGATGGCTCGTGGAAAGACATGCTGTTGTGTGAGCCAGCTCAGCCGCGCATCAACGTGGTCTTCGACTATACGTATTACACCCGTGGGCGTCGCAAATATAAGCTCCAGGGAGAGGGTGGATGCGGGGTTACAATGGGTCAGTTTGTGAGGGCTTTCCGCAAACAGCTGACACATATTGAGGAGGACATACGCGGATTTCCCGAGGAAATGTTGGTCTACTGTGGTGAATGCTGGGAGAAGAATCATGAGGATTGAGTGTGAACAGGATAGCATGATTCTGGAGGTAAGGAGATAGAAGGAGTCTAGGAAATGAAGAGACCTTTGTCAAATAATGACGACATTAGTAATATATCTTGGTGGTCATGTGGACTTATCTCAGGACACACATGTCACTCGATGAACGTGACCTCCGGCGCAGTATAAAGTCTAGCACCCAGTGTCGCTATCCCTCCTATCATCAATCTCGATCCATCCTCACAGGTTATCGCACCACCGTAAGTGCCAAACAACATGCGGGGGAATACAAAAGATAGTACCGATAGAACCGATTCAGGCATACTAAATGGTAGCGCAGTCCCAGGCGCCCCTCCCGAAATCCCACGAAAAGATGCTGATTCAGATGACGACAAAGATGACAGTAAGAACGAGGAGAAGGATGAAAACATGGCCGACGAGAGTACCGACAGCGACGATGATGACAGTGACATTGCCACAATCACCGTGACTCTGAGAACGAGTATCGAGCTGAAAGGCCTCCCCAACTCTTTCCCGCGGGCCGTGATAGTTCTGGAAGTCGACTTCAACGAAGCGTCCACGAACCCCGAACCTATCTTCGAATTTACTCGCGATAACTTCTTCCACGACATTATTGACAACATGGAGCAGTGCATGCACCACGTCGACGAACGCTTATTCGACAGAGCAAAGATACGAAACTCCGGTAAGCCACGACCCTGGTTCGAATTCGAATCTTTCCAACATCTGCAAGAGTTGTTGGAAGTCAGCAAGAACAATCCTTTACCCAAGGAGAGTGATTGGATGGAACAGCTGTTGTGTACGCCAGGTCTCCAACGCATCGACCTCGTGTTCGCATATAGGGGTTACCATAACACCGTCCGTACGTATAAGCTCTTTGCGGAAAACAGAAATGGCGTTACTGTAGGTCAATTTGTGAAGGCTTTTCGCGATCAGCTGCAGCATGCGGAAGCAGACATACGCAAGTTTTCTGATAAGCTGACTCTCATCTGTAATAAGTGTTTCGACGACGCTATCAACGACGACTGAGTACACATGTTGAAACAACGAGAAAATATGACCGAGGCAGAACATAGTGCCAGAAAGAAAGATATCAGAAGGACCCAACACCAAAATGCTGCTTCTTGATGAGTTTCCTAATCCGATTGTGGCTGGGGTGACTTTCGATCCGGGCGATCGAGAATAGGATGATTACAGTCTGTAGAATGGAACAAGAGTAAAATGGCATGGCGGTCGAAATAAGCAAAGCGATGCACATTCGTATGTGAATCGTGCTCTTCTCTTTGATAAAAGCGATCGATGTGAGACTGGGTTGAATAGCCAAGTCGCTGGATATTGATCTATCCACCAAACATAGCGAATTGATGGAACGAGTGTTGTATGTTCAACAGGTAGGTTCAAGCAGCCGTGCCTTGGGTTCTGTCGTGTGTAGTTGTGCCCACGATGCAGATGAAAGGTGCCCAAGCCAAGCAACCAATGACGTCGCAAAGTCCCCGCAGACCTCCAGCGACGCGCGCACCAAACGATCAACCCTCTACACGCGCGACCGTTCCACAAGCTCACTCCTCCCACATTCCCTTTCAATTCTCTACCAGCCCGCATAAACGATGGCAGCAATATCCCCCGCCCCCGCCTCAACACCCACGCCCACACCCTCAACAGCCCCAACGCTCACGTCCCCCAACTTCGTCTTCCCACCACACTACTCCTTCCCGCCCTTCTTCACCCTCCAACCCGTCGCCAGCACGCGCTCCTCCCAACTAGCCTCCTGGTCCACGCTCATCCAGTCCTACTGCCGCCACAACCGCATCTTCACTCTCTCCCTCATCGACGCGCTCCCCACCCCGCTCTTCACAAACACCACGCTGCGACGCAGCCTCTCCCTGCGCGACGCAAAAGCCATCATAACCTACATGGCCTCCCCCGAAGGCGGCAACCGCGCTGAATTCATCAACACGAGTTCTTCCAAGAAGGCGAAGGCGGGGGAAGAGAGCGAGGGTGGCAAGGCGTGGATATATTGGCGCAGGCCGGAGGAGTGGGCTGCGGCGTTGGAGGAGTGGGTTGAGAGGACGGGGCAGAAGGGTACGGTGCTTACGCTGTATGAGATTGTCGAGGGGGATGCGAGTCGGCGGGAGGAGTTTTTTGGTATGGATTTGGAGTTGTTGCAGAGAAGTTTGGGGGTTTGTGTTAAGAGGGGGAGGGCGCAGGTTTTTGGGTCGGGTGGTGAGGGCGAGGGTGTCAAGTTCTTTTGAGAAGACGCTTTCATGTGGTCTTGGGGGCTTGATAAAAGTTATGGGATATAAGCAAGGGGTTAGAGAGGAGGAGGAGGAGGAGGAGGAAGAGGCGTTGAATGATACCCAATCGCATTTCGGACCTGGAATCGCAATTTCTGCTATGAACACATACTGCTCTCACATTTACATCGCCTACGCCGCACCCAACGGATTCCGACACGCATCCGTCAAACTAACCCTCGGCTCCCTCCCCTCAACAACAGCATCCAACCACGCCCTCACCCACTTAACCGTCATATCATTCTCACATTTATCCAACGCAACAAGCACATCAGCCCGAACCTTCCCCGTCTCGAAGACCCTCAACCAAGCCGGACAAATTCTCGCCATCTCCTCTAGAAAGAACTTCCTCAGACAAGTCGTTTCGTAGAGTTCTAGCTCTGTTTTGTGTACTTCAGACGCGGTGTCGCTGGTAAATGCAGGAGGAGTTGTCCGCGAGGGTCCCTTGAGGAATTGGGGGAGTTGGACGGCGAAGTAGGGTGGGAGCGTTGCGACGCATTCCCAGTCTACGATTGAGATGAGGTCGCCTTGGGGGCTGACGAGGATGTTGGAGGTGCTCATGTCGCGGTTGCAGAGGATTGTGGGTTCTGCTGCCGAGCTGCTGTCGTCTGGGAAGAGTCGGGGGATGATAGTGCGGAGACTTGATAGCACGGCTTGAATGTCCGAGTAGTGTTCTAAGTCGTCTTCGTCTTCTTGGTCTAGTTTGCTGGCGAAATGCTCGAGGAGTTGGAGACGGGCGGTGAGGTACTCGTGGGTGCTTTGGAAGGGTCCGCGGGCGATGTCTAGGGTGATGTTGTCGCCTTTGAAGAAGGCAGGTTGGACGATCTCGTCGATAGTATGTGTAGATCGTCCATCTGCATTGGCGAGAAATTTGTTAGCTGGACCTAGACTACCAATACCAGATAGCTCGATATTGAACAGCTGTGCAACATGCTCTGCGATCTGCTTGACTAACAAGCCCTTCTTCATCCAGGACATTCCATGCCAGACCTCGTGTAGAGGGCATGCATCCACCCGCTCCATCAGCATCCACTCGAAGCCAAGCTCATTTGAAAGGTCTGCATCGTGTGCAATGACCTGCGGTACTGGGATATTCGTTTCCTCGCGAATGAAAGCCAAGGTTGCGACTTCGCTGCTGGTTTTGACGACTGGTGCGACGGGTAAACTGACGCGGAAGATGAAGCGACCTTTGGCACAGTCGATGGAGAAAAGCTTGTTGAAGGCTCCCTCAGCGAAAGCCTTTACAGTGACCTGTTCTGCTTCCGATAGTTTCAAATTATCACGTGTCAGCCTGGCGATGGTCTCTATCGATGGCTCCTCGGTCCAGCAAGGCTCGATGCTGAAGACGTCTTCTTCCCATTCTAAGCCTGGCTGATTGACCTTGCGTCGCGGAAGAAGTGTCGTCGTCATAGTGTGCAGCTAATTTTGGGAAAATGGTGGTTGTGGTGTGGTTGAAGACTGGAAATGGAAGTGAGAAGTTGTGACTAGACGCAAAGGGGAAGCAGTACGCTCCCTTGTTTGTCTTTCATTTTGAACAACGTCACCACTGAAAAGTGAACATATCTGACGTCGTGGCAACACCATCAATCCCAAGGTGCCGCGTCAGTATTGTGAAGTCCATCTGGTCTCTTTTGGCATATTCACTCATATCACTTCGCACGCACAATGATCTGTCGCCCTCCTTCTAATATGGAGGTCCTCTTTGGCCCGAGTGCGTTCTTTACGCACCAGCCTCAACCAGAGATCTATAGAAGAGCAAGATACAAGACCACAGATATGGGTAAGACTCGCAAGGCCATGATGGCTTTCATCGATAGCATTCCAGACTCCAAGCTAGAAGGCGGTTTCAAGAGCGATACCATCTACACTGACCTCAAGAACTTCCGACTCGACAACCAAGGTGTAAGTTCAAGCCCGAAAGAAGCCCAAACTTTGTCTCTTCTCATATACTAACAAAATTATATAGATCACAACGGCCAGGGGTGACAAGCCGGCATGTGTCAACCTCCAGATGCAGGTAAACAAGCGACCCAAGATCACATCCCTTGCAGATGCAGCGCCCTTCAGCGTTGCGCATGTAGAGATTCCAGTCGAGGAATCCTGGTCCGCGGAGACGATCAAGTTGGAGCTCAAGAAGAGCTGCATTGCTCATGGTGATAAGACCGGCCACTTCTAGGCGGCTTGGGTGCTTGCGTAAGTTGGTATACCTCGGCGAGTGTTCACGGCGATATTCTTTTCCGACATGGATAGGCGTTTTATACCCGGAAAGGTGTTGATGTTGCACAAGACTAAGATCGATTAGCGACGTCTTGAGCAACGAGTATAGTAGTCCAAGATAGACTTCAATCCGGAAGTCAGGTTTGCCTGAGTCGCATTGACCACATCCCCGCAAGACGCAAAGTTAAAACAAGCAGTGTCAGATGCTCCGTGCCTGAGAACTGTGGACGTGATGACGCCGCAAAAGCTTGCATAGTGACTGAGGACAAGGAGTCCATGGTGACTGATGCTCTGAATGCTGGGGAAAGTCTTGGGACGTGGCTGATTGACGGTAGAGAGGATGGCTGGACGCTTGGATCTTGATAGCGTAGATCACAGAGAGTTTTGAGAGATGATCCCAATAACGAAACAGACTGATCTTCGACTCTGGAGTCGAAGAAGGCTGGGGACCAGAGTTGGACAGGTAGTGCATGTAATGGTGATGCGGCGTGAGTGCATCGTGACACAGACGTCAGTCATCGGTAGTGGTCCTCTGCGGCGTACTAGGTGTGATAGTGACGCAACACATGCTAGGGAACTCGAATCCACCGTAGATGTGGTGGATATGGCTGGTGATGCAGATCAGGGCGGATCGTCGCAGGCTCAGAGTAAACAATGGTTCTGGTTGAGGGAGCGGGCCGTTAGCTAGTCTGCAGTAGGAAAGGGCCGAGGGTCAACGGGCGCTGCAGAAAGCTACGCAGCGCGCACAGTAAACAGAACGATGGGCGCCGCTAACGACGAGGCTGGAGGCTCCGCAAGCCCCATGCGCCGTTCGAACAGCGCATGGCCACGTCGCATAGGCGTCCACAATTGCGGGGAGCGTCGTGAGACGAAGCGACGTGGTTGTGCTGAGGGCGGACGGTCTCAGGCACAGGCTCGACGTTATGCGCTGCAACACAACAATGCCATCCGCAGCGGACCGGTTGCGCGGTGGACAGCAGTATTTGTATATTGAAACAGCGGACTAATCCAGCAGGTCGGTTCAACTGTTAGTGTGTGCAGGCAGACGCTATGCCGCATGCGTCTTGCTGCATTGTGCTGCAGATGGCTGCGGGTCAGCATGGAGCGCTGCGGGCTGCCGTCGAGAGAGGTGGCACACGGCGGGTATGCGGTGGGTCGTTGTCGAGGTCGTATAAACGGCCGTCTTATACCTAATCACTCGACCAGCTGGAGTCGCAGTCCGTCGCCAGGCACCTGAGACGAAAAGCATCGGAGGATAATTTTAGGCCAGGTACATCTCATTTCCCCTCGGCAGGGTCAGCCCAATCAGCGCGCGCAGAAAGAACGACCGGACCCCTGATCCCTGACGCCGAAGCAGGAGCTAGCCGACGCGGTAGCCTCGCTGTTCGTGCGTGTTGACCATCCCCCAAGGCTCAAGCGTGCCTTCCTCTCTCCACTGTAGAGGCCCATCGCAGCTTCCCTACCCAGTACGCTCTTTCTGCCACTGCGAGCCAGGCCCTCTCCTTCCCTTCTTAGACCGGCACCCCACCGATACGGTCTCTATTTTCTAATACTCTTGCATCGCCATCTCGACACCTACATAGATATACCCCATCCCCGAGGCCTATCTACATGTCGCGAATGGACTCGTGAAGCTGCGCGTCTCCTACTGGCCCGCCATCGTCGATTACTACACTCCACCACGGCCACTTCCTAGGATTGGATCTATCGACAAGCCATACAGCTTCTACGCGTACAGATATACTCAGCATGCGCCCGTGCCAGTGCTGCGACCATGTTGGCGCTATGATTCTCTCCGAACCTTATCGTCGCCCAACTACTACCTCCTGTTCCCAAAAGCAATCCCGCTCTGGAATAAAAAGGGCTGCTGTCTTCGCTGTCGTCGCCGCATCGATACCGTCCGCAATGGCTCAACGGAGTTGCGTGTCGCTTCAGGGCTCAACCGCCTGCCCGGCCTTTTCCTCCGCCTCTGTCGACACCAATTTGACCGCGAACTTGTACGTCAAATGTGTTTTGATAGACAGAGTGTTGGCTAACAGTGAATGCGCATAGTCCATTTCTTCAATACGTGTCAGACACTCGGTCGTTCGATGAGGGCTTGAAGAATTACATCGGTACCGGATATGCACAGCGACAGTCAGTCTAGTTCAAGTCGTACCACGCGACTGTTCATATGCACCAGGAAAACTAACGCATCCCAGGTACGAGAATATATTGGGATGCTCAAGCGTCAACCTTACTAGCACCACCAACCTCTATGCTCGTTACACAACGACTGTCCTTTGTAACGCCATCATCCAATCCTCCAAGAACAGCTGCGGACTCGGCGACACGGAAGCGACTCCACTTTGTGCTGGTGCCTGCGTATGTAGATCGTCTTTGTCGTCCCATACCGCGTCGAAATGCTGACCATCTCAGGCCGATTTTGCCATCAGCGAACAGGTCATCGTATCAAGCCCGGATCTGTGCGGTACGCCTGGTAACAATGCAGTCCCAGAAATCCGCTCTGATTTCGCCCGCTGCTCCAACCCTGCCAACTCTCTCAGCAGCAGCTGTATCGACGCGACCGAAAACGAGCCCAGCGAATGTGGATACAATGGCAACCTCCAAGGACTCTGCCTCTTCTGTTCCACCAGCACCGTCAACTCTACGGACTCTTGCTGCGTCAACGCAAATGTCGAATCGCGCTGCGTAGGTATCGACTTACCTACAACCGTCTCGATGCCTCCCGTGTTCCCCTCAAGCACTTCGTCCTCTTCCCCGAGCTCCACTGCCGGCGCCGGATCTGGTGGAGGTGATTCTGGTCTTTCTGGAGGCGCCATCGCTGGTATCGTCATTGGAGCACTCGTCGGCGCTGCGGTAATCATCGCAGCCGCCATCTTCTGCTGCATGCGCATGCGACACAAGAAGAACAGCCAGGCTGGAAGCGTCTTCAACACGCCATCGCCATCGCGACGCCACTCTCCTAAGGGGCCCATGCCACCTATGAGCTACGGAGGCGACGGTCAATCGCCCGCTACCATTCTCCCCGGTGCGCGTGTTCAGCGTATGTCGGCTTTGGAAGGATCAGAGTCCTCGGGCCAGAACAGCGATCGAGGCGGCCGTATGACCGCATACGGTGGCTCGCAACTCGGTGCTTATGATTCACCCGAGTCGATACGTGGCCATCTCGCCGGTAACCTCCCCAAACGACAAGGTTCTCTTTCCAGCCACTCTGCTCTCGGGGCGAGCTCTTCACCACTCTCTGGATCTGACCAGACGCGCAACTTCTCCAGCCCGGATGGTGTCGCTTCCGGCCAGTCCGAGCAGCTACAGTTCTTCAAAGACTACTATTCCCAGGACGATATCCACCCGAACGACACTGTTGCCACTCTCTGGGCCTACCAACCTCGTGCCGGCGACGAGTTCGAGCTAGAAAGAGGAGATATGCTCAAGGTGGTTGGCATCTGGGATGACGGCTGGGCGACAGGTGTAAGACTTTCCGAATCGGCAGAGCAGTGGGAAGCCCGGAAAGCCGAGCAGCGCGACTCCGGCGTAAGCAACGGCGGCCGACGATCACCTGTCGAATCCGACAGCGAGATCAAGGCTTTCCCCTTGGTCTGCGTGTGCTTGCCACAGCACTGGAGGAAGACGATTGAAGGCGACAGCACAGACTCTGGCGGGCATGGAAGCGGAGGTGACCGGATACCTCCAAGCCCCTAAGATGTCCTTCCGTGCCTGGGTCTGTTAACGCTCCCTAGTTGCTCCCTTGTCATCTCCAACCTCAGAACGCCCACCACGTTACGCGCGGTATGGAAAGGGCAAAAGTCGAGTCGCATCCGCAGCACCACCCAATTCGCTAACACGGCCACTACTCTCGAGCACACCAGACGTCCACTCCCTGGGGTCTAGTACACTTATCGGCTCCGACCCTGTCTCCAAATAGTAATGTCGCCACGATGATGTTTGATTTACGCGTTGCTCTTCCCGTTTTGCGATACCTTCGATTCTTGGTCCTCCACCACACCCCCGATCATCGGCCGTCGTTCTACCCCTCCAGGGGTCCTTTGAGACCCTCGAACACGCCATGGCCGCTGGACCACTTACACTTCTGCTTTGTCACGATCAGCGCGAACCATAGACTGCCTTCGGGTCTAGTGTCTAATACGCTCCTTAACCGTCCCCTGTCGCGCAAGCCTTTGCTTTGCGCAACAAAAATACAATCTTCCTCGACGTTCCTCCAGTAAAATCACGCCAAACTCCCATCTACTTCGGTACATACGACCCTGACCTACCTACCTACCCACCCGGCTGATTGACGTTTGTTCTATACCCCGCCGCATATCCCATGCGGCGCAACCTTTCCTTTCTTGCTGTTGATTGTTTCTGTGGAGAGTGAGTGAGTGAGTTGAGAGCGCTGGAAGCGATATTGTATATATGACTCTTGCTTCCGGAGCCTACTCTCAAGGACAAAGGGTTAATGCTTTATCTTGATTATCATTTCTACGATATCCCGCCTGTTGGGTAGGAGAGAGAGAGGGTGTGGTTTGTGGTTGTTTAGTGGATGGTGGCTTTTGCTGTTTTGGATGCTGAGGAGAGAGGAGATGGTGGTTGCTTGCGTTTTGGATAGCTAGGTTTGGCAATGGGAAATACCGAAATATTCGACATGTTGTCTTTTCGGGTAGTGAATGCTTTGTGCTGTGCAAACTCCTAGTAAGATCGTCACTTTGCCCAGTCCGGTTGACCCAACGACCTCGTTTCTAGGACGTCAGCACCGAAGTACAACCATGATCTCTCAAACCCTCATCCACCAGCCCTCGTCCATCACTTTCCCCTTTCCCACATCCCTTCCTTCCCCAAACCGGCTACCCGCATCACTTCGAATCTTACGCCATCTCGAAACACGCACCGTTGTCACTTATAGCCAAGCATACACCTATAGCATAAGCATGAAACCCTTTGCCCCGACCACCCCAACAA